CTCTTATTTTTTAAAAAAGGAAAAAAGAGAGAAATTAAAAAAATTGTTAAAATTTGAATAATATCATCTATATTTAAAAAATAGATTTTTCATATAGTATTAATAAATATTTATTACACCTTATGGGAAAAAAATTTCATATAATTAATTCTCCGTAAAATTTTACTTGAAATTTAGTTAAAATAGCTGTGGCAATTCAGTGTAACAAAAATCCATAGACCACATTTGGCGTTATTATCGCTCAAAAAAAGATGCCAAACTTCAAAAACGCGAAAATATGTAAATTCGTGTATATCTTACAAATTTTGAATAAAAAAGTCTAATTTTTTGCAGATATGCTTAAAATACACCTACTTTATGATGATGGTAAATTTTATAGGTTATAATTCAAATTTTTTTTGAAAAAATTTATAAAAATTATTTAAAATAGAAAAAAAAAACACCAAAAATGGGTAATTTTATTTGGAATGAACCTAAATTTCAAAATTGAGAGAAAAATAAAAAGTTTAGTAAAAAAAAGAGATATTAATAAATATTTGCCAAATTCAATTAACATTGAGGAGCTAAAATTTTGAGAGCTAATATTTTAAAAACTAGTTGTACGATTTTTACAAAACTTGGTATTCTGGCATAATTTGAGCCGTAGAATCGAAATATGGAAAAAATTGGTATGTTATTTCAAAAAAGTCCGATTTTGTGTCAATAACCTATGTTTAGAATAGTGATATATATAAATCTAATATATATCCTAAGTCGCGCTTTCGAGACATGAAAAACGCAATCCTGAAAAATGAATTTTGTCAATCGGCCCAGTAGAACAGGACATATAGCACTGTCCCTTTTTTTTTTTTTTTTTTTTTGAGCAGTGTACATCATCCAGATTTATGGGACTTTGGTGATACGCTTTTACAAGATCAATGTGACTAAACAGATGTTTACCATATAATTCTGAGGTAAAATCAGCTATGCAAGGAATGGGATATTTTCCTTTAACAGTTTGTTCAGTAAGAGATCTATAGTCGACAACAGGTCTCCATTCAACAGACCCTTTCTTGGGCATCATGTGCAAGGGCGATGAATAGGAGCTTTTTGAAGGTTTCATATGACTCAATTGAATCATGCATTGAAATTCAGCTTTTGCAATTTTGAGGCGGTCAGGAGCTAACCATCTAGATTTAGCAGCAACTGGAGGACCTTTAGTATTTATATAATGCGCAGCATTGTGCTGCACAGGTTGACTGGGATCCGATAACTTAGCAATATCAGGATATTGTAACAATATTTTACTAAATGCATTATCAACACAAGATTTTACAGAAAAAATATTACAAGTATTTAATTTGGCAGGTACTTTAAAATTTTTTGTTTAATGAATTAGATGCTTGTTACATAAATCAGGAGATAAGTTAAAATAATATAAAAAATCTGCACCTATGATCGAGCATGTAACATTACAAATATAAAAAGAGAAAGTAAAATTGTGTCTTAAACCAAAATTAACAGTTATTGTTTTGAAATCATACACATTAATGGACGAACCATTAGCAGCACGAAAAGTTTGGAGTACTGGTGCCTTCAGTTCAGATTTATTTGCAACAATTAAACTGGCATCACTCCCTGAATCTATTAGAAAACACCTACCTGTCGATTGGTCACTAATGAAAAGATGACGCGATGTATGAGGATGGGAAAAGTCAGTCGCCTCTACTCTTCTGTTTTCAAGTTTCCTTTATATGAGCATGGAGAAATGCACTTTTTTTGCATTAGCCTTGAATTTTCCATGATACCAGCACAAAATTTTTTATCATGCGATTTGGAACATTTGCGGCCAGCAAAATTGGTACGAGATGAACTCCTGGAACGATGAATTTCGGACATTTCTTTTTGAAGAGCTTTGATTTCTTCACAAAGTTGAGCTGAAGAACAGATGGCATTCGCCAAAGAAGATTCATTGTTAGAGATGATGGTGGATATATTTGTGTTGTTGATAGCTAACATTTGATCAGCTACTTCTGCAGCTTTGTCCTAAGTAATAGGAGAGATGGAAGCTAAAATAGTTTGAACAGGAACAGGCATCGCTTGATTAAAGAGCTCAAATAAAAGTGAATCATCTATGTTGTGATTCTCTGCGCGATGTTTCATCATGTGGAGAAGTTCGCTAGGTTTTCTATCTTTTACCTGCTAGCAGCCGACGAATCGCCCGAGTCTTGGATTCTGAACATCTTTCTATAACTTTTGATTTCAGATCATCATATAGGTTGACATTGTCACACTGAATGATGACATCACAAACAACAGTTGTAATATTAGCTGGTAAGTGAGCTACAAAGTAGCTAAATTTTGTCTTTTGCTCCGTTATCGGTTTGAGAGCTGCTAGTTCAAAAGTAGATTCCAACATGTGAAACCAAAGAGATGGATTAACATGAATAAAAGGTGGAATCTCCACAGCAGAAGTTAGGATTCGGCCATTTTTCAGGTGGAACACGAGCCAGCGGGAAGAATCAAAACCAGAAGTATCCATTACTGTAAAGGATTTTTTGTCCTAAGGTCACCATTGAAGGATGATTACCATTGATGAGTGGTATGGGTTGATCTGACTCCATAATTGAATGAAACAGAATTGATATAAAAATACATTTTATTACACACACAGGAATGACACTAGTACTGGGAGCATTGCGTAGTGATCCTTTCACTCCAACGGCGCTGGCCTAAAACAGGCTGTGAGGTGAGACAGAAGTTGTGACATAACAGGGCAGGTGTTGTTGCACCTCTTGCTGATTGGCTACACCACTATCAATAGGCACATCATTCACCATGTCCTCAGTGAGTTCTGCACAGAGGGAAAAGAGGTCCCAATCTGCTTTCTCCAATATAAAACGTGGAGTTCTAGAAATAGGCATTATGTCTTTATACGTAAATGTAACAGAAATGGGAAAATGGTCGCTGTTATGCAAATCATTTCCTACATTCATTTTGCAAAAAGGAAACAGAGCTGGTGAATAGATTGCGAGATCAATGCTGTGAAATGCCCTCGTGAGATGGTGAAAGTAAGTACCTTTTCCATTATTAAGGAGGCAAAGAGAATGATCGATGATGATTGGCCTACCTTGCGAGTTTTTATTTTTACTTCCCCAAAGAGGATTGTGGCTGTCAAAGTCACCAAGGAGGATACAAGGTTCAGGCAACTGTTCTTTTAACCAATCCAGGTCCTGCTGCTCTATGTGATCATTGGGAAGCATGTATATTGAATATACTGAAATCAGCTTCCGAATATGAACCTATACCACAACAGCTTGGAGGGAGGTCGAAAGAGGAAGCATACTTGAAGGATAGTCAAGCGATATCAAGAGACCTACACCACAGCTGACATGAACATTACAAATCCTATTTGTTCTAATAAAAGAATACCTTCGAAGCTTAATATCTTGCTTAGGTTTTAGGAGTGTTTCTTGTGTTACAAAGCAGACTGGATGATGATTTTCGGTTAGATCTTCAAGACTGACAAGATTTGTGTTAAATCCTCGGCAACAGAGTAGCCATTATGAACTTTATGTCTACGCTGCTTTTTTGTTTTATGGGGCAAAAGCTGTTTTGGAATATCCATTTCTGCTTCTACATCCATATCAGAATTAAAATCCTCAGAACACATACTATCTAATGAGCCTGTGCTCCTCAGATGAGATTTTGGTTGTTTTCCTATTTCACCTTCTGGTTTTAAAAAATTTATTTGTTCTTTTTTTGATTAGTTTGTTCTGTGCTAGTACTAGATATCATACTTATTTTTTGAATGATTGTGGATGGCTTTTTTTCTGGAATGAGGGTAATGGTTTGGGTGGCTACTGATTAGACAGATTTCACTGCATTAGCAAAAGTGACATTTCGACGGGACTGGCTTTTAGAAACCAGTCTTCTAACTTCATATGAGATGTTTTTTTGTAACTTTGACAACCTGCACCTCTTTCTATATTTTCCACTTGGGACAGGATCGTGAGAAAGCTGTATGTTCCCCTTTGCAGTTAACACACAGTGGCACAGCAGTGCACGTATCAATGCCGTAATCCTCGACAGAGCAGCGTGTACATGTTGGTTTTTCACGGCATGATATCTTTGAGTAGTCAAAACACTAGCACTAGAAACATCACATGGGGGTTAGGAATGCAGGGTCTTAACTAGGCGGTTAAGATAACTGGCCTTAACACTTTTTGGCAGATCTGGCAAAATGAAAGTGAGGATTTCATGTTTTGTACCAATCAACTTTTACCCTCTTTATGCATCCTGATCCACCTAGCAGCACAGACTTTCTGATCTGAGAGCTCAGTTACAAACATCTCCTCTGAAACCAAAAGAAGGTTTGTAGTTCACCTGGTGCACCACTTACTAGTAGAAAACCAGGAGAAGGCATATTTGCATTTAAATTCGCATTTTCACTAGTTTTTATCTTTTTATTTGAATTTATTATATTTTATGAGGAACTAGGTTTATTTATTGTAGCCATATTTGAAATAAATTTGATTCAGACCTGGCGATCCCACGCACCGTAAAACCCAACAAGGAGACACAGAATCCTGCACTAGAGTTAACCGGGTCTATACGGAAACTGAAGACCCACAGCTGGCTTTTCCAAAAGCAAGTACTTCCAAGAGCTTATACCCAAGCCACTGATACAAGGATTAGTCACCAGCCGACTGATGCCCGTGTCTCCCGTTTAGCTGAAGCAGGGGCCAAAGCAACATATTGGGGACAATACCTCACCCCTCAAGTACCAGGACCCTCCTTTCCAGAGACACAGGTCTCCACGCACGGCAGGCATGTAGGCAGTTTTCTCACCACTCGAAGCTAAATCCAAAAGCTGTAATAGCATCTGAGGAAGAACCCCAACCTACGAAGAGAAAAACCACAAGGGAAAAGAGAAGGGGAAAAGTTCCAGCCAAGAGGAAAGGAGATAGATGATAGATCACTGGGGCTGCAGGATTGCAACATTCATCTCACCAAGAAGAAGACCCCCTGAAGGGCTAGAGTACCACAGGACTGCCACACCTGTAATCACAAAAAGTGAGCCCCTGAGGAATTGGTGAGTTCTGATTCAGATAGTAAGATAATGCATATTAAAAATATATTGGAATCTAAATAAGACACCAGTCTGCTAAAATAAATACAATAAGATAATAAGAGTAAAATTGCATGTCGAAATGTGAAAACAGTAAAATACTTTTGAGTGCAGATTCAAAAATCCTATTATTATCAATATGTCTTTTATATACTAAAAGCAAAATATTTATATGCAAAGAAATATAGAATGCAATAATGAAATTACATAGAATAAAAACTTAAAAACTTCAATTTGAAACAGTTAAAATAATTATTATTTACTTTATATTAGAATCTTCATTCCTGCCAATCTCCTTTTGTTCAAAGATACTTGTTAGCCTTTCATACTGGTCTTGTAAGGTTTTGTGTTCATCAATTAATTTTGATAATCTACCTTGTACAAGATTATTTTCCTCCTGAAATAAAATATATTCAAAGGAAAATAATTTTATATTAACAGTCAAAATTTAATATGAAGAAAACACGTAACAAACAACATATAAATTTTCAGAATTTTCATTTAATTATTTAACTGAATTTTCTGATAACTAAACAATCAACAAAATAGAAAAGCATTTCACTAAAATGCAGTTATTAATGAACAGCTACTTTTCTCAAGGACTTAGAAATTCCCGCTCCCCTAGCGTACCCGTAAAAGCACATTTTGAAAAAATCAGAATTTTTAATTGAAAACGTTTAGCAAAATATATAAATCTCAATGCTAAAAGTATTTACGAATGATTTCTATATTCCCAGAGGGTTGAAAGCAATAAGTAGATTATATAGGATTTACCTAGCAATAAGTCTATGTATTGTTCCCTTTTAACCCCAATTCAGCATTTTTTTTAAGAGTTTATTTTTTCTTTGATTACATTTGCAATGAAATTTAGACCTTTGGGAATTTAGACATTTTCAGTGAAATTTGGACCAGCACAATATATTTTAAAAAAAAACTTCAATTTAAAAATATTGGTAAACTAACATTTTTTTGAAAAGGTAAATTTATTTTTAAAATTATGAGAATTTAAAGGAAAATGATAATTGATAAAACTTGATAAGTTTTTTCTACATGTGGCAACAAATCATGTAACAATAACCAATTTATTTTCAGACAACTTTGACTTTTTGTGGATTTAGTTACGAAACATGATTATAAGTTACATCCTATACATTTATTTATACTTCAAGAAGGTATTATAATTTTCAGCAATAAAATTATGTCTATAATAAACAAAGACTAGAAACAAGACAGTGTGTCATGTTAGTTGATCATCATTTTTATTTTTGTTTCAAAATACAAAAATGTACTTTTTATTACATAAGAAAGTGTAGTTATTTTATCCACACTTTTTGGTTATAGTTTGCAATATATCTTTTTGTTATCATAAATGTGATAAACAAAATATGGTTCAATTTCTCTTCTTAATTTTTGTAATACAATATATAAAAATATGTATATACTGTTCATAACCACAATCTGGAAAAATATCTCACTGATTAAAGTTTTCAACCAATGCCTTATGGTGTAATTATTTATTTTAATTATTTGCAAATGAATGCAAAGCTGGAATTTTGTGCATAGGTTAGCACTGAAATATCCAAATTAGGTGAGTGACACTTTGCAAAATGCTGGAATTTGAGTGTGTTGTATTATTTAAATTAATGTAGCTTTTAAAAGTGATAATTATTCATTAGCTATGGCACAAGGCAATATTTAAGTGAAAAGCAAAAGTGACAGTTCATTGGTAAACTGAGCAAGGCAACAAACAAAAATGAACGTGGCCCCAAATCTGAATATTTCTCAGAGCGACACATCAAGTGCTTAAACATATTAAGTAGTGAATCAGTTAGCAGACAGCTTATTTAAGGGCAGCGAAATGCAACAGCTGTATCTGAAGACTGTTTTCTTTTCGAATCACAAATAGGACAAAGAAAGCGCTGTCACAAACTAATCACCATTCTACTACAGTCAAAAGTTAATCCGGACCTCAAAGCTACAAACTTTCTGCGCATACGTCGCGTTTACGTGTGCTCATAAGACCTTTACGGCTGTGACTTTGCCTGTGCACATGCGCATAATACGTTTACGCATGCGCGTTTAACGTATAACGGACGGTATAAGCTGAGCTAAAATTATCTAATTCAGTTAATGTTGCAGATTGCGTTGTTCCTTAATCTTCGAATTGGATCAGGCTTATTATTTTTTGCAGACTGTTAGAGCAATTTTATAAAAGTAAGCTTGAACTTTCGATTATGTCAAACAGAATTTCCGATATATATTTACTAATATGTACAGGATCTACAAAGCAAAAGTATGTTTCGAAGTCCATTAAACAAAAAGTGGAATTGCTGCAAAAAATGGAAAAAGGCATATCCTTTGTTTCTTAACCATTCCGAAATCTGTTTATCAATTTCATGCTGCTCTGGGGGGGGGGGACATCGCAGCGCGCAATGAACTGGAAGTTGATTTGTCAGCACTATCCTTATCTTCAGGGCAAATGTTTTTATTTTATTCGGCTTATAATTCCTTACTAAATGTAGTATTTCATCTCGATGTATTCCGTCTTTGATATGATTTAAATCAAATTCCTTGTCATTATAAATATCACAAGTACACATCAAATAGTTTTCTGGTTGCAATTTTCTAATTTCGACTATGCTTAATGTATGCTTTACGCATGTGCTTGTTGAAAGAAATGTTTAATAAAGTAAACAAATAAATATTAAGCTTTTTTTTTTTTTTTTGTAAATTTTGATACCCTTTAGATCATAATTGTTCTTTATTTCATAAATAACGGTTTCATATTTTTAATTGTATAATTTCTGCATGCCATCTTACCAGATTTAAACTGATGATCTATAATCCGGAATCGCCAAAGTCCCGACGAGTCCGGATTAACTACTTTTGACTGTACTGAACAAAGGCTTAAAAAGATTGCAATTTTTTTTAGACAAAACCAATGGTTTGAATTCCACTCCCTTCACCTTCCAAAGGGGACTGTTTAAGATGATGGATCATTTTAATTATCATTTTAATAGAGCTAAGAGGAATGGGAAAATGCACTGTTTGCTGATGAGTCCAGATGTATCCTGAGATGAGATTCTAATGTGTTTGAAGATGAAATGATGAAAATGCAACTTGCCTTCTCTTGCTCATGAAAGATCAAGTTTTGATAGAAGCCTTTGTATGGTTTAGGGCAGAATCATCAAAAATAGCCACATCAAGCTGTGTATCTTTGATGAAGGTTCTGTTATTGGTCATAGATATATTTGGTTGAGAACTTCAAACTTCATGCAAAACTGTTTAGGGGGGGGCAATGTCGACCTAGATTTATTGTTAATGGATGACAATGCTGACTTCCATCAAACATCTATGCCATCAGAATATTTGGAAACAGAAGCAATCACTCGAATAGACTGACCAACTTATTTCGAATTATCGAATTTCAATTCAACTGAACATGTGTGGAATACCCTAGGCCAGTGGTTTTCAACCTTTTTAACCCCACACACTTCTAGACGACCATTCTATTTCAAAACTTGAAAAATAAATACACATTTACTTAAATTTACATATAGATTATTTTTCAATGTGTTTTACAAATTAAACACGAAAAAGTATACGAAATGTTAATAAACACCAAAATCAAAGTAGTTAGTAGTTTATATTAATAAACTAAAAGCGTGAAATTGAGAATTGCCCCCGCAGAGAAGCGTGAAATTGATAAACAAATTTCGGAATGGTTAAGAAACAAAGGATATGCCTTTATCCATTTTTTGCAGAAATTCCACTTTTTGTTTAATGGACTTCGAAACATACTTTCGCTTTGTAGATCTTTTACATATTAGTAAATATATATCGGAAATTCTATTTGACATAATCGAACGTTCAAGCTTACTTTTATAAAATTGCTCGAACAGTCTGCAAAAAATAATAAGCCGGATCCAATTTGAAGATTAAGGAACAATGCAATTTGCAACATTAACTGAATTAGATAATTTTAGCTTAGCTTATACCATCTGTTATACATTAAACGCGCATGCATAAACGTATTATGCGCATGCGTACAAGCATATTCGCAGCCGTAAAGGTCTTACGTGCACGCGTAAATGCGATGCATGCGCAGAAAGTTTGTAGCTTTGAGGCCCGGATTATAGATCATTCCGGATTATGGGTGTCCGAATTAACGACTTTTGACTGTATTAAAACAAAAAATTGTTGCAAAAACAGGGGAGACCATTTTTCCATCTTTAAAGTTCCATAAATTCAACTGTTTTATTCCTATCAATGTCTTTCAGTTTTGATGAGCAGTTACATTAATTTCAAAATCTGTAATTATGGTTTTTGTTCACACTTCTGTCTACATTCAAAATAAAGTCCAAATGCTAATAGAATTTTGCAGCAACATATATTCCAACATCTCTATATATTCTACTTTTCATAATTTTATTTAAACAACATATTCTAGGTACAAAGCAGGAAGACGCGACATAAAAAAGAAATTACTCAGCAACAATACATTATCTATTATCAGTAGCACAAAGATTAAAAACCTGCTGTATATTAAGACTCCTCTTCATGCTATTCATTATTAGTTCATTTTCATCTAAAAGTCGAGCTTTTCTTTTCAAAACGGTATTTTCATTTTTCAAATGAAAAATCTATGAAAGAAAAAAAGAAAATGATTTTTGTATTTTTAGCAATAGTTCAAATGCAATCTAAAAATTTAAATGTTAAAAAATTAAAGCAACTTTATTCATCTTAAAAAATGATTTCAAATGTATTAAATATTAGAATGTATTAATTTTACATCAATTCCTCTTGGGAAAGCTGTTTTGGGATCACGAACATACTTCAGTAACGAATTAAGTTCGAGAACAGAGGTTTCACTGCACTCAATTATCTATAACTCCTATTAAATTCATTACAATAATTTTCTTACTGTGCATAAGAATTACATAATATTTTTACCGTTTTGGTATTTAAATAGCTAATGTTAGTTGAATTATAAATTAAATTGTTTTATTCCCCGTGCAGTGCAGCACGTGACGAATATTAAAAGAAAGCTAAGCCGGAAAATTGAAAATACAAGAGTGCGTGCATTTAACATTTAATAAATATCTCTTATGAGAAAGTTCCAGAAAGTTCTCATGCGCGATTTAAAATCTTATAAAAGGAGGAAAACCTCTCAATTCGTCGTAGTTATTATTTTAGTTAGCTTGTTGTTGTTTTAAGAGTTTGAAAACTGCTCTTGTTGATTGTAGCGAATTCGAAGATTAGCTTTCTTTAGCTGTTTTGAATTAACTTCTGTTGAATGTTTGAGTAGTTAGGATAACTACTGTGAGATATTGCAATACTGAAAGAATATCTGAGGAAATTTTTGTGGTGATAGTAATAAATTTTGTCCATTTTTCATCGACTTGTGCATTCAATTCAAACGAACCCGTATGCATGCAACAATTTTTGGTGTCAGGAACGGGGTTATTTTTTGAATGCCAATTACAAGAGCAATGGAAGACCAATTCAGGCAATTGATTACTGCATTTGCTGCTTTCCAAGAAAAGATGGAAGGGATGGATGATGATCAACAAGAGATGAAATCGGGACAGGAAACCGTTAAACAAAAGATGGAGGTTGTTCAGGAATGTTTTAAAACAGAGATGAAAGATGTTAAAGAGGAAGTGAAAATAGGTCAAGAGGAAATAAAAAAGAGATTAATTGTATAATAGAAAAAAAAATTGAGGCTATGGAAGGCAGAATTGACACTGTTGAAACTAAAGTTGTACAGATAGAAGAAAGACTTTCTTCGGTAAAAGAACAAATAGAAGAAAGAGTTTCTTCTAGCAAAGATGAAATAGAAGAAAGAGTTTCTTCTGTCAAAGATCAAATACAAGATAGAGTTTCTGTTGAGGAACAACGAATCGAAAGAAGAGTTTTTGCCATCCAACACAAAATAGAACAATAAATTGATGGCAGGGTTTCAGCAGTTGTGAAAGAATTCAATACTTTAAAGAAGTTCGTATCGACGGCAGGGAGCAATTCTGATAGTTTCAAATTTTTTACCTATGCCTGCTCATCCTTCTCTGAAGCTCTCTACATATGATGGGAAGACCTCCTAGCAAGTGTATAAGACAAAATTTTATATTGTGGCAGATGCGAATGGATGGGATTCTTAAGCTAAGGCCTGTCATCTCGCCGCTTCTTTAAGAGCAGACACAGCGGATATCCTTCAGACTCTTCCCGAAAGCAAATGGTTAGATTTCGAAGCCCTGTCTGGGGTGTTGGAGCTGCACTTTGGGGAGAAGTGTTTAAAAGACTACAGCAGGCTTTAATTAAAATCCCATCAAAAGAAGCCCATGGAATCACTCCAGGAACTCGCCACAGATGTTGAAAGGCTGTCCCATCTCGCCTTTACGGAGTGCCTGAGAGAAACGAGGGAAATCCTGTCCCTGCAGTACTTTATCGATGGCATCCGGGATCCCGAAATACAGAAAGCACTGCAAATGGCGGATGGTTAAGGATGTAAAAGCGCTCTGTTGTACGCCATGAAATTCGAGGCAGCCCAGCAAGCAACTTGTAGAGATCGCTACCCAGTTAGAGCTGTGCGAGTCCATGAGCCAGTGGATCAACTGATGGCTCGTTTAGATGATTTAGCCTTTACTCTGTAAAGTCAATGCTTTGATATGGAGTAAGAGAGAGAACAAAGTGGCTCTAAGGTGTTGGAAATGTGGTATTGAAGGGCATATACGATGGCATTGCAGAACACCCCAGGGCATGGATAATAAAACAGATGATTTGACAATACCAGTGAATCCCTTGAGACGAAATATTGGTGAGAAGAAACCAACCCTAAAGTGCTAGAATTTTGGTATTGAAGGCCACATACGAAGGAACTGCAGAACACACCACAGCACGAAAAATTAGAAAGGCGTGTTAAACAGATAATTAAATGCCATGGGATGGAAAAGGAGTGACAAGAAACCAAAGTGCTGGTACTGTGTAGCTGAAGGCCATGTACGAAAGAATTGTAGAACACCTCAGGGTATGGAAACAGGTCATTTCCCAGCAACAACGCAGGAAAACCAATGAATGGCCATATCGAGGAATGGAGGTTGCCAGATAATGAAAAACCCTGTTTTAAAGCTCTTAAGATTTCTACAGTGAGTGGCAACAGTAACGGACTGTCCATCAATGGGAATATTGATGGAGTTCCCTGCAATATGATCATTAATACAGGAGCTAATGTTACCATCATTCAGAAGGATTTAACACAACAGTTTAAAGATAAACTTATTTGGACGCCATCCTGTGTTACCCTTCAGACTGCGTCTGGTGACAAGATTGACATAGCTGAAAGTTAAAACTGAACATCATGTTTGGAAGTGCCGCCTACCATCACAAGGCATACGTGGCGGATATTACAGATCCATGCATACTTGGACTGGACTTTTTAAGGAAATACAGTTTTCCCTTAGACTTCAAAAACAACAAACTGCTTTCAGAATCTGAAGACATAACTATCCATCCTCAGAAGGGATTCTCACCTGGAAATGCCGACACTTTGCCCAAAAGAACCAGCTCGAGAAGCTGCCGAAATCATGCTAGGGTTGAAAAGAAACACAAGACTACCAGCTATTCTCCATCCCAGATGCTTTTCAGTCGAGACCTTCGACTGCCTTGTGACCGCCTGTTTGGTCACCTCCAGATGCTCCTTCATCGCCTGAGGAATATACTCAAGATCTCCAAGCCTGGTTTGAAGTGATGCACAACTTTGCACGAGAGCAAGTCAACTTGGCGACGGAGAAGATGAAAACCCGATATGACACAAGAGCTACTGAACATCAATTCCACGAAGGAGACAAGGTGTGGTTATGGAATCCAACTCGACGGAAAAGACTCTGTCCGAAATTACAGTCACCTTGGGATGGTCCGTACAGAGTACTAAACAGGCTGAATGACGTTGTGATTTGGATTCGTAAGTCTTCGAATTCTAAACCTAAAGTCATTCATTACGACAGATTAGCTCATTACTATGACCATAGTACATAATGTAAATATTTGTAAATAGTGTAACACCATGGTCCTTTCTGTTGCTAAAGGTGTATTTGATTTGATTTGTATTTAGTATTTGATAGCATTTGATTTTTATTTAGTATTTGATATGATTGATTGCATTTATTGTTCATGTTTTTGTTTTTGTTATTGTAATGTAATGCATTTTATTGCATTTATGCTTTAGTTGCAAGTTTGGCTTCCTGTCCAGGGATTGTACTGCCCGGGACGTGCAGTCCTTGGGAAGGTGGCAGTGTTACAGTTTTGGTATTTAAATAGCTAATGTTAGTTAAATTATAAATTAAATTGTTTTATTCCCCGTGCAGGGCAGCGCGTGACGAATATTAAAAGAAAGCTATGCCGGAAAATTGAAAATACAAGAGCGCGTACATTTAACATTTAATAAATATCTCTTTCGAGAAAGTTCTTATGCGTAATTTAAAATCTTATAAAAGGAGGAAAACCTCTCAATTCGTTGTAGTTATTATTTTAGTTAGCTTGTTGTTGTTTTAAGAGTTTGTTTAGAAAACTGCTCTTGTTGATTGTAGCGAATTCACGGATTAGCTTTCTTTAGCTGTTTTGATTAACTTCTGCTGAACGTTTGTGTAGTTAAGATAATTTCTGCGAGATATTGTAATACTGAAAGAATATCTGAGGAAATTTTTGTTGTGATAGTAATAAATTTTGTCCGTTTTTCATCAACTTGTGCATTCAATTCAAACGAACCCATACACACGCAACAATATATTTGATAGCATCATGTATATTGTTGCCTGCGTTGCGTTCAAACTAAATCCTAAAGATTTTTCAATTTCTTATTTATATACTTTTTCTAAGTATGATTCTAGATAACATGAATTGTGTAATTTGTATCTTGTGTGTTATATTTGTTTTAAAATATAAGTACTGCTAATAAGCATATTATTTTATACAATGTACTAATTTCAGCTTTGGAAAATTTTCAAAGTAGCTCACAAAAATGTATTGTTATGGCAATGCAAAGAATACATTCTTAACAATATAATAAAAATATCTAATTTTTAAAATTTTCTCCCAATACTTGTAATTTTAAATAGTAAGCAATGAAGAATAAATTTTTGATACTTTTCAAATAACAGCAAAACTCTTTGGCACCATTTAAATATAAATGTTGTTATGGAATCAACTGAGCATAAAAATAGCAACTTTAAAAATATGTACAGCTTCAAAGGGAGGAAAAATAGCTATTTTATCAAAACAAATGCAAAAAAACAAATACAAAAATTTATAAAGAAGAATGCCTATGATTACTCCAATCGACAGCCATGCAGTACCTAGTTGCAGGCAATGTCATTGTATACTCTTTATGAGATGAATTTCATGGGCACATCTGGCACTTCAGTGCACAATATTCAACCAGCCATAATGTTAACCAAAAAATACAAAATATTTTGCAACATAAAGAACTTACTTCATCTCTCAATTTTTTAATTTCTTCCATACAAAAGTTTTTGTGCTGCTCTGTATGTTTATGCTTGCCATCCTAAATTTAATAAGAAAATATTATATAATAAGTCTTAAACAAATGCTAAAAAATATACACTGGGGTGCAAAAATTAAGGACGAAGTCGAAAAATTAGCATATCAGCTGAACGAAGAGGCAGAGCGGACAGATAGACCAATCAGGAGATTAAGTAAGGTGATGTATGGTAGCACATGCGCAGATATGCAGGTAGACATAATGGGGGAGTGTCTGAGTTGTATAAAGCATGTTGTCGGTGAAAGATCAGTATTTCTGGCAAAGAGATTGCACACCGTATAGCAGTTAAAATCACACTGAGTTGCTGCCTCAGCGAGAAATGGCGAATAATCAATCTGTTAGACGACATCTGGATGCTTTTACCCGAGGTCGAATCATTGGGAAGTTGGAGGAAGGCCGCCGTGTGACAAGTTGTGGCTGCAGAGATCGGAATTGCTCACAGCATCGTTTCACGACTTTGGAGACAATTTCAAACTACAGGAACAGCTATCCGGGGGTTTAGTAGTGGTCGTTCACGAGAAACCACACCCTGCAGATGACCGGTATATTGCCTTACAGGCCAGAAGAAACAGGCGGCAGACAGCGGGAGAAATCGCTAGACACACGACACAGGCGACTGGACGACAGATATCGCGTTTTTACCGTGGCCAGAAGACTGCAGGGTGGTGGTCTGTTTGCACACGACGCCCTGTACGGTGTGTACCTCTAACGCCTGCCCATCGGCGAAGGCGTTCTCTGTGGTGCCGGGAACACCGGAATTGGAGAGACAATGAATGGGGACGAGTACTCTTTACAGATGAGAGCAGATTCAGTCTGAGTAGCGATTCTCATTCGCATACTCATCTGGAGAGAGCGGGGAAGCCGCAATCATCGATCGAACATCATTGAAAGGGACAGGTATGGAGGTGGCGGTGTTCTCGTTTGGGGAGGCATCATGCTTAGTAGTCGTACAGACTTCACATCTTCGACGCAGGTTCAGTCAACGGGACCCGTTATTGTAACGAGATTCTTCTTCCATATGTGCGTCTTTTTAGAAGCGCTATGGGTCCGCAGTTCCTTTTCATGGACGACAATGCACCATGTCATCGCACAGTAGCTGCCGAACAGCTCTTAGAGAGTGAGGATACTAAACGTATGGATTGGCCGGCACGATCTCTGGATCTCAATCCCATCGAGCATGTATGGGATTTTCTAGGCAGATGCTTGGCAGCTCGTACCTTACCACCAGTAACGATTCCGGCGCTTTGATTGGCGCTGCAAGATGAATGGGCAGCAATGCCTCAACAACTCATTGACACCCTCATTCTCAGCATGGGCAGACGCTGTGAAACCTGCCTAGCAGTCAGGGGGAGATCATATCCCCTATTAAAGACCGGATGTTTCTTCCTGAACACCCATCACGGATGTTTCGGCCTTCAGTCGCATTGCACTCCATGCTACTTTTTCAATAAAGCTTCTTTTTATCCCTCTGATTTCTCTTTTAGTAAGTGTTGCTTACATTACTCATGTCCTTACGTATTGGGGATCTTACGGTATTAAATGTGTTGATTTGGAAAGCTTTTGTACAAAGTTATATTGAAAAAACCGTCTCGTCCTTAATTTTTGCACACCAGTGTATATGAGAAACATAGAAATCATTAATAATAAAAAATATATAAAAAAATTTGATATATATGTGTATGTGCACACACACACATATATGCAGGAGAAATTGTGTGTATATATACCTTATACAACATATACGTAAGAAAAACAAAAGTATATGTAAAAGATTAAATTAGCAGCTCAAATTTCCTTCCGTATTCTAAAAATAGTAACCTCTATTTGCACTGAGTCATTTCGAGACTGTTCTGTGTCATATGATTCTTACCTAATTCTGATTATGCAAATGGAACTAAAACTCAGACAGCAATAGTAATTTTACAGCAATATTAAATATCCAATCAAAATGCATTGAGAATCAAAACTAACTCAGTCTGAATTAAGATTTCACCCTGAACACTTGCTTTCAATGCTGTGGCCTGGCTGCACTGCTGTCTGCCTGCTGCTTCCTTCCTTCTTGCTGCAAAGTTATCAAGAATGTAAAACCTCTTGTAATACCCACAATTAATGTGCCAACTTGACTGTGGCCATAATCATGTTTATTGAAATAAAAGTTGAATTAAATATACCTCGACTGCCAAATTTCTTATTCATTATGAATCGTCATTTCAGCATTCTACAACAAAATTCTAGCTGTTCATTACAGATACAACCAAATGTGTTCTACTACAGAATCTATTATATGTGCATGTCATTATGGCAAAGCATCGAGGGCTATCTGCCTAAAGGGAGGGATGCCTTCATGCAGGACTTTCTAAGGGAAACTGGCTCGTATACACGTTACACATGGGGAAAACGACAAAAACATCCATGCAGCCAGCCTGTTCTTGGGATTCGAACCTCGGACCGAACTATCAGTGTTCAGCGACGTATATATATATATATATATTTTGCACTTAGAAACATACACAAAAATATAGTTACCTGAAGAGTCAAGGGGGAAATGTGCAGTGAAATCTAATACAAATATGTAAAGAAATTGAAGAAAACAAGATTGATAAATACGTTAATGAACACATTTGGACAGACTTCTGTATATAATTATATAAAAAGTGGATTGCTGTATATGTCATAGAGTTACATGAATACTGCAAGTCAAATATAATTTTCATACCAAAACGTTTTTTTTGTGTGTGTGTTATTTGATTTGGTTTTACCTGGAATTACTGCATGGAACATTACTTCTTCTGTTTCTGTTCTGCTGTTTAACTGTTTAATGATGATAACTATATATATAGTGCAGTCAAAAGTCTTTAATCCGGACGTCCATAACCCGGAATGATCTATAATCCGGACCTCAAAGCTACGAACTTTCTACGCATGCGCCAACGCATGTGCATAATACCTTTACTCATTCGCGTTTAATGTAAAACGCACATAATTTTAGCTTAGCTTATACCGTGCGTTTAATGTAAAACGCACGGTATAAGCTAAGCTAAAATTATTTAATTATCTATTTCAGTTAATGTTGCAGATTGCATTGTTCCTTAATCTTCGAATTGGATCCGGCTTATTATTTTCTTCAGACTGTTAGAGCAATTTCATAAAATTAATCTTGAACTTTCGATTATGTCAAAAAGAATTTCCGATTCTGGAGCTGCCAAAGGATCTACAAAGCAAAAGCATGTTTCGATGTCCATCAAACAAAAAGTGGAATTGCTGCAAAAAATGGATAAAGGCATATCCTTTGTTTCTCTAACCATTTCGAAATCTGTTTATCAATTTCACGCTGCTCTCGGGGGGGGGGGGGGGACATCGCAGCACGCAATGAACTGGAAGTTGATCTGTCAGCACTATCCTTACCTTCAGGGCAGATGTTTTTCGCCGCACGCAATGAACTGGAAGTTGATCTGTCAGCACTATCCTTATCTTCAGAGCAGATGTTTTTATTTTATTCGGCTTATAATTCCTTACTAAATGTAGTATTTAATCTCGATGTATTCCGTCTGTGATATTATTTAAATCAATTTTTTCATCATTATAAATGTCCCGAATACACATCAAATAGTTTCCTGGTTGCAATTTTCTAATCTTGACTATGCGTAATGTATGCTTTATACATACTTTTTTGAAAGAAATGTTTAATGAAGTAAACAAATAAATATTAAGCTTTTTTTTTTTTTTTTTTTTTTTGTAAATTTTGATACCCTTTAGATCACAATTGCTCTTTATTTCATAAATTACGGTTTCATATTTTTAATTTTATAATTTCTGCATGCCATCTTACCAGTTTTAAACTGATGATCTATAATCCAGAAAAACCGATAATCCGGAATAGCTGAAGTCCCGAAGAGTCCGGATTAAAAACTTTTGACTGTATATAACTTTAAGAAATTGCCACACAGATCTAGAAGATATAACAGTTTTTCAGGAATTTGGCATCACTGTTAAGGCAGAAACTTGTCAATACAACCATAATAAATTTAGATATGGAAAACACATGGGAATGCAGTCTTACGGGCTGTGGCCAGAAATCTGATCATGCTAAGAAAAGATTTGAGGGCAGCAGAAAACTCTGACTGCATCATAGTTCATTTAAAAACTCTAAAGATAATGTAAATAAAAAGGTAAAATACAGTCAAAAGTCGTTAATTCGGACACCCATTATCCGGACTTCAAAGCTACAAACTTTCTGCGCATGCGTCTCTTTGACGCATGCGCACAGACATTTAAGAGTGCACATAAGACTTTTATGGCTGCGAATATGTTTGTGTGCATGCACATTTAATGTGTAACGGAGGTATAAGCTAAGCTAAAATTATCTAATTCAGTTAATGTTGCAGATTGCATTGTTCCTTAATCTTCGAATTGGATCCGGCTTATTATTTTTTGCAGACTGTTTTTTGCAGCTTGCCAACACTTAAATTCATGCTTAGAATTTATAAGGTGACAATATGTAAGGTAGGAGAATAAAATGTATTCTATAAAAGCAGCAATTCCAGAATCATGTCTTCCAAAGACAGATAAATATTATTCCAACAAATTGTGATTTTTCCCAATTTAAAAGATTGCCATTATGTTCTTTTTATTCACCAAATTAATTTTAAATGTCGCCAAAGTGTTAGTGGTGTCATTTTAACAAGAAAAGTAGCATAAGATATTCAAAATCTAATGCATTATTAATATTCTCAGAATATCAGTTTTACAGAATCTAAAAATTTAATAATTACACATGTAATCATAGTTACAAAAACAATTTATTTCCAACGATATCATTAATCACAATTTTATACTACCCTGCAAGTAAATTAAATTTCTATTTTGAGTATTTAAAATTCACAGCATTACCTGTTCATTCGACAATAAAGCAGATTTTAGATTTTCAATTTCATCCCTCTGCGCTCTGCATAATTCTCGGAGTCTATACAATTCTTGAAGAATCTCATGATGCTTCCTCTCAAACTCTAAATCTACTTCTTTCATTAGCATACGAAGTTCTTCCTCACAATCTGACTGTAATCCCGGTAAAGAGGGTAATCTGTAAATCACTATATTGTTATTTACATATTTAAACAATAAAGTATTTATACTAATGCCCTCGAAAATAATTCATGTATATATGAACTTAAAACCTTTATACCCTATTACCATACAGCATTTGTTATTACTATTATTTCATAATTAAAGTTCAACCTCAGATTCATATGTTGCCTTAATTTAAAATGTTAAAATATCATGAACAATGCAACAAATAAACAGGGAACTGTTAAAGTGTAAAATGTATAAACCTACTTCACATCAGAACCAAATATCATATTTTCTTCCATTAAATTGAAAACCAACTTACAAAACAGATTCTTTTCCCGCGACTCAAGGTTTGTTTACAGTAAAACCTAAAAATGGTTGCCATTACGTAAAAATAAGTTTTATTATTCTAATCACGCAGTATAAAGGAATAATCGCAGAATCTTTATACTCCGCGGAACCAACACAAAATGCCAAAAGGAAATTAATAGCCCTTCTGCGCAAAACTTTGTCCCCTTGGGCTAAAAAGGAACTATTATAATTTTATAATCGTCATCGTCGCTATGGCAACAATGTTTGTTATCAAATTTTTTTATGACTGTTGTTTAAAAATGGACATTCAAATACAAATGTATAAAATTGGACACATATAAGTTTCAGCCAGATATTTAATTATGAGATTTAAAACCTACCTGGGAAAGGAGCCTCGACATATCCTTTTCCTTGTGTTTTTTTTTTTCGTGTGTTTTCTAAAATGTATTGATATTTGTCGGATCTTCCCTCATTCTTTGTAATATTTTAAATATGAATCTTAGCTGAGATCCACGGAAATTTCTAACCGATAAAAATGGGCTCTTTGGGATCAGATGCATTAAAATCATTCGATAAATTAACAGCTGCAGCCAAAAAATAATATTTTGAATATAATTAGTATTATTATTATTATCGGTTTTGGTTACAAATAGTTCCTACCATCAGCAGCGCAAGAGTTATTTTCTACCGGCAGAAATCCAGGCCCTGGCCGAAAATGAAGACTGCAGTGACAAAATCTATTTAAATAGCATGAAGAAATATGCACATATGTATTTAAAAGTGAGCTTTATAAATCATATTTTTGCATTTCAGACAACAAAAGTCAAAATCAGAGCATGCTGAAATGAAATACATGTGTATTGTAATCAGTGTCAACAATATTAATCACATTCATTTTTACCTTATATTTATTTCTTTAATATGTCTTATATACAGGGCTTAATTTCTAAAATTAGAAGTGCCGGAGCCCTATGGAAGACTGTCAGCAAAGAGGAACAAAAGTAAATAAATAAATGAAATGACTATCAAAATCATTAATAATTTTAAATTAGTTAATTATTACCATTAATTAACTATTATTTAAGTAATATTAATAATTAATCTTTGTTTTATTATTTTTAGTAAATTAATTAATGATTATTAGTAAAATAGTTAATAATCCTAATTAATAAATATAGAGATAATTAAATTTAGTAGTGCTATGTAATCTAATTTAATTGCAAAATAAATTTCGAGATCCAAAATTTCTACTGAAATTGTTGTTCCAGTTGTACAAAAGAAGCCTTCTTATTAAGGCTCCGGTGCACTCTGGCTAGAATTATGTATCCCCAAAACTAAGGAGTACCAGAGCCAGGCTCCAGTGGGTTCCAGTGAAATTTAAGATCTGCTTATATATATATATATATATATTTAATTAAACTTTAACTTCACTGTTAAAACTTCCAGAAATCTTTGGCTACATCTGGAATTTGGATATCATAAGTTGAGCAACTGAAACTTCTGTCATGAATAATTACAGGGTTACAATAGCTTATACATTTGTTTTAGCTAAAAAATGTTTGGTCAGTATCTACATATTCCAACCTTTATCTGATTTAAAGTTTTTTTTTTTTTTTTCATTCTATTCTAATTCTCAGTTTTCTTTATTTTTCATTTCATATTTCATTAGACCAGAAATGTATGGGGCTATCAGGAATCATGAAAATTTTCTGAAGTATTGCTGCCTGCAATGCAGCTTTGTTTTTTGATATCGATGGTTTCAATGTCTTAACTTTGTTGTCATTAACTCACTGCAAATTGTTAGTTATTGGATCTAATTCTTTACTCCATTGATTAAAGCAAGGAATTTTCATGTCCAGTAACATGGATGATTCCATAAAATGCTATAAAAATACCAGCATCTTTATCCAAGTAGGCAAACGTTTGTCAAGATAAAGGTCTTCACATGGATGTCCCAGCAGCCTTGATGAGGATTGCTTTCTTCATGATAGCAAGCTATATAAGGAGTGACAGCATATTTATGCCTTCATATCATGGGCTTTAAAAGTGATTGCCACATTGAAAAAGGTACTTGTACCTATGCACAAATTGTCAACTATTTGGCAAAATTAAGATCTTCAGGTAGGTGTCTTAACCTTGGTGATGCTTTGATGGGGATTGCTTTCTTCACAACATTGAGCTCCCCAATAGTGTTGGCACTTCTATGCCTTTAAGCAGTAGCATCCTTGTGTCCTTGGCAAAAGACACATAATTTGAAAATGGTGGCACCATTTTTCATACTGCTCAACAGTTCAACCCCATCTGCCCCTCTATTAGATTGTGAAATTTCGATACTTGCTGATTATTTGCACCCTCATTGAAAAGTTGCCAAACACTACTGATAAAGCAATGAATGCATCACATCACCAGAAATTATTTATGTGCACCACCACAATGTTGTCAAAAAGTATTTACATGGAATGTCACATACCCTTATATGGCTTTCCAGGACATTTTTACCAGTGTGACTGCAGATTATGGAGTCGTAACTAGGATTTTCGGTGCCCAGGGACAACTGAAGATTTCGTGCCCCCTACTGCTTGCCAAGGATGGAAAACATTTAATTCTAAAATGTCATAACATCAGTTTGGTGCCCCTTGGATTCTGCGCCCGGGGACAGATGCCCCCCTTGCCCCCCTCTAGCTACACCTCTGAGATTATGATCCTTGTTATAGGAATTTTAGTATAGGAATAGACTCCATGCTACAGTTTTTGTCAACTTTTGCAAAATTTCAAACATAACTTTCTACATACATAAAATGTAATGTGGCTCCCTTTAAGACATTTTGCACCTCTTTTTTTCCCTTCTCCTTTTAAGATTATGATGCCACAGTTCTGCATAGTGCCTAGTTTGTGCAATTTTCTTAATTTTTTTTTTTTTTTTTGGGGGGGGGTTCTTGTTAAAAGCGGATTATTGTACATTGTGCAGAAGAACACAAAAACAGAGAAGTATACTTGTATTATATAAAAAAGAAGAATGTAAAAACTGAACTGATGGAACTGAATGCATTGTTGAAATACAGATACTTACATATTATTCTATTGACCGTTGATGGAAATTTCAGCAAGTCGGCAATCACCAATTGTTACTGCGGGTTTCTAAAGGAGAGAGAGTCATCCATAATTGGCTTCAAATCTTACTGCTTCAGTGGGATGTGTAAGGACCAAGATACCTATAAAGATACTCAAACAAACATTTTTGTTCAAAGTCGCCAACAAGTTAGGGAATACTTTCCAAAGGCGACAATGAGTGCACGACTTTTTGATGAGGGTGCGGGTAATCAGAAAGTACCAAAATGTTTTGTATCAAAAATCTGTGCTATGCTTTAATAGAAAAGTACTTGTAAGTTATAGAACTTATTTCAGACTTAGTAATTTTTATCATAATCAGAAATATATATTCTTGAAACAGAAAAGCTTTCTTATTATATATATATATATTATATATATATATATAATATATTGGTGTTCTCTTGGCATTTTTATTATCATGAAATCATGTCATTATAATGTATCATTATTATTGCTTATATTCTGAAATTGTTAATGTATTTCAAAGTACACTGTAAATTTAATTAAAGGTTCTCAGTAATATACATTAAGTATTAGATACTTACAGTAGTTCTACAAGTATCTAATGCCAGTATTTTTTTCTAATAAAATATATGTAAAAATATAACCAAATAGACCTGTTCCACTATCTTACACTTTTCCATTTTCAAATATTAATCCATAAATATAACATAAACATTTAACATAATATTTCAAATATTAATGATCCTGAGGGAATTAGTTATGTTTGGAATAAATCTTAGTCCTTTATTCTTCTTTCTGTTAGAAATGCATAAATTCATATAATGTTATCTTATTATAACCTTAATTGAAATTACATGCTGATCTTGTGAGCTGTGTAGCATGGCATACTACAGATGAAGTTTTATCTTGTGGAGATGATCATGAAGTTCTAGTCTGGAATTTAGTAACCAATGAAACAACCAAATTACTAACATTGGCCAATGATCTATTCCCAACTGATATGCATATATTTCCGAGAACTTCAAGTGCTAGTGGCATTAAAAAGCAGATTGGAGGAGATATGTTCATTATAACTACTACAGATGGTAAGTAAGTAAATTGTTTTCTTACATTTAATTAAAAAAAATAGTTTTATGTCATTTAAAAATATTTGCTATTGAAGTTTAGTCATTTAATTTGGGACCTCAGAATCTTATCTAAAGAGATGTATTAAATCTGGTTTTCTTCCGATATAATTTTTTTTACTCTCTTTCGCATATCATTATGAAAATAACATGCAAATATAGATTCTTCTGTTATTATCATTTTTTCAGCTGTAAACTTGTCTTTTGAAATAAGGTAATAAATTAGTATACTTTAGTTTGAAGATTTGGTATTTTTCTGTGAATGGAATATCAGTCACCAAATGTAGTAGCATGTTTATATTGTATCATGAAAAACTCTGTATGTTTAATATATGGAAGTATACATGGGAGAACAAGCATTGTGCATATTAAACATTATATATGCATATACAGAAAAACCTTGCCAAACACTGGGCTTATGTTATTAAGACATGCACATATGACAAAATAATATTTCAGACAAAATAATAAGTTAACTTTCTATGGAAGAAACAGATCTGGTGATTTTTGCTTGGGATAATATCTGATGCAACTGCCATTACCCATTCTCACTCGAGAAATCCCCTCATCAGATCACTTGATGTTCTTTGAGCTGCAAATTATGTGGTTGCGAGTCAATTTTTCATTGCATTAAAAGTGAAAATAATTATATCACGATGTTTCCCAAGAAGATTGTTGCCTCAGATAGTGCTGCAAAGAAAAATAAGGAAACCATGGCCATTGAAATTAAGAAAGAAATCATAGATAAACAAGCATGGTGTAAGAGTGATGGAATTGATGAAGACGTACTGCCTTTCAACATTGACGATTTCCACTATTCTGAAAAAGCAGGAAGAAATTAAGAAACTTGATGCAGCCAAAGGAGTTACCGTTACTTCCGAGCACCGTCCAAAACTTGAAGATGTTAGAAGATGTTGAGAAGCTGTTGTTGGTGTGGATTAATGAGAAGCAGTTAAAAGGTCGGTGTTGGAAGCTATCATAAAGGTAAACTACAGATATATTATTTACCAGTGTTATTTATTAGAAAAATTGATTTTTATGTTGATATTTCTGGGGGTGCGAACAGATAAACTGAATTTCCATTATTTTTAATGTGGAAGTTTGTTTCTAGATACAAGAAATTCGCAATACGAGCTCAATGCTGGGAGGAATTAAACACATATCTTGAAGTTCCATTGTATTTTACTCAAATTGAATAAAACAATTTGAAGTATAGAAAGAAAATGTTCTTTAGCTAAAACACTTAAAAGTAATCTCTCACACTCTTCTATATATGTATGTAAATAGATAAGAATTTAGAGCTGAAATTTGATTTTTGAATTATGCATATTATAAATTACGGGAAGATGCACAGTAATTTTTGTCACCTTAATAATAACAATTTTATTTTCATTTTGTATACAGGAAAATTTCATCTTATTAATAGAACTGGAAGAATTGAAAAAAGTGTGGAAGCACACAGAGGAGCTGTTTTGGCTGGTCGTTGGAGTCATGATGGAACAGCTTTTGTTACTGGTATAAATTTTTTTATTTCTTTTACATCAACAATGAATATTCTTTTCTTATGTTTAAACATGTTGTTAAAAAATAAAACATGTATAAATTAAAAGCAAATATGTTTTCATATCAACATAACAAATTATTGTTTTTGTTGGCATCAAAAGAGAACAATTTGATCTTTCTATTTAAATTCCATTCAACAGTTAACTCTATACCCACTAATTTAAGATTAATCCCGAGATATTCTTTTAATAAAGCTACATAATATAAAATTATGCATTTAAAACAAGCTATTCTAAGTACAAAACATGGTGGGGGAACTTCATATGGTACTATTCTTTTATAAATTAATGGCACCTGAGAAGTTTCACATTTTTTTATAAAAAAAAGCTTGATAATTTGATGCTTATGCAATTTTTCACTAGATCTCATGCTCATGAACTGTTACAAAATATTTTCCCCAACAGTTCTTTTTAGCTAGAACATGAAATTTGCATATGTAAGAACAACAACTCTTGATTCAAGTGTTAAAAAGGCATTGACTATGAGAATTTAAGCATAAAAAGTCAGGATTACAGTACAAAGTCTTTAATCCGGACGTCCATAATCCAGAATGATCTATAATCCAGACCTCAAAGCTATAAACATTTCTACGTTATGCGTAAACTCATAATGCATTTACGCATGCGCATATGCGTTTACGCATGCGTGTTTAATGTATAATGGATGGTATAAAGCTAGGCTAAAATGATCTAATAATCTATTTCAGTTAATGTTGCAGATTGCGTTGTTTCTTAATCTTCTAGATGGATCCAGCTTATTAATTTTTGCAGACTGTTAAAGCAATTTTATAAAAAGTAAACTTGAACTTTCGATTATGTCTACTAACAATTTTACAATTTTAGCGTGTGCAAATGCTGCAGGAACGCACAAGTGCAAACTTTTCGTAATTGAAAAACATGCACGACCTCAAGCGTTTAAAGGAGTAACAATTTTATCTGTTATATATCGTGCAAATAAAAGAGCATGGATGACACAAGCGTTGATGAATGATTGTTTTGAAAATCATTTTATACCCGAGGCTCGGCGACATTTGAATTCGGTTGGTTTACCTGATGACTCAAAAATAGTCCTAGTTGTTGATAACTGTTCGGCGCATACTTCACTTAAAGTTTTAGTGACAGATAATGTATCCGTATTATTCTTCCCTCCAAATTGTATGTCTATCATTCAGCCTATGGATATGGGAATAGTGCATGCGCTGAAATGCAAATATAAAGTAGCATATCGCTTCCGATAGTGAAGAAAGTGACAGGGAGGTTATTGAAAACGAAAAAATTTCAATTGACAAATTAGTCGGTATTCTCAACACAGCAATTACAGGACTTGAACAGCGAAACTTTGTAACTGAACAAGAAATTATGTCTGTTTATAGAATTAAAGAGAAAGTATTAGCACATAAAACGAAGCAACTTAAACAACTTACATTGAAAGAAATGTTTAATAAAGTAAACAAATAAATATTAAGCTTTTTTTTTTATATATAAATTTTGATACCCTTTAGATCATTATTGCTCTTTATTTCATAAATTAGGTTTCCATATTTTTAATTTTACAATTTCTGCATGCCATCTTACCAGATTTAAATTGATGATCTGTAATCCGGAAAAACCCCTAATCAGGAATCGCCGAAGTCCCGACGAGTCCGGATTAAAGACTTTGTACTGTATCAAGAACTTGCTGAGTTTTTATAATAAATACTTGAATGTCAAAACTATTCAATGCTAATGTTTAAAATCTATTTTGTTAGAAAAGCTTTTCTGGGGGAAAAATTTACTGGGATTATATAGCAACTCTAAAACATATAAACAGTGATAGACAACAAACCTTAGATAAGTTAATCAATGATGACATGCCATGCTATTCTGGTTGACCCATCAGCATTTATAAATAAAAAATAAATGTACAGTAATTGCACCTCATATCCAGGCTTAGTTCAGCTATTGCATTCAAATAGACAAAAAAAAAGTTTTTTTTTTTTTTTTTTTTTTTTCCCTGTCTGTGTGTGTGTGTATATGTGCACTAGCTTAAAAGCACTTTTTCTTGAAGCTGGGCCTTCTTGCTAAGTCTATGCAGGAAATACTTACCTTCAGTTTCAGATTTAATACTTTTTAAACTTGGCAGTAAATTGTTATTAATTTATGTTCTTGAAATCAAATGCAATGCATTCCAAACCTTTTTTAAAACTCAGTTTAGGTATTTTTTAAAAGAAAACAAGGGTGTGATTAATACACTATATCAGCAGTATTCAAACAATGGTTCACGATCATATCTAGAGTTATGAAATTTATTATGGGGTCACAAGGGGGATAAAAATCCTAAAAAATCTAAATTGATGGTATATAACTAATGGTCACACTTTAGTTAAAGTTGAAAAATTTTTTGGGGGGATTGTTTGCATTTTTATGTGTCACACTGTTATAATGTTTGAATACTACTGCATTATATGATTCAAATTCATATTTATGTGTTAGTGTAACAACCTTAGTAGAAGTTTCTAAGTATTCAGAAATGTACCAGACTGTTGCAGCCATGCATGTAGCAATTGTTTAGGCTACCATGCATATAAAACATGCATAAATTAAAAGCAAATAAAAGTTTTAATAAGCAACTTTGCTTCTTTTTGTTGTATTCCAGGTTTGAATGATTTTTATTAGCAAATCATGATAACTTTTTACCCTGAACTCTGTTTTAAGCTATTTGCCTGTGGGATTTGATATGCAATAAAAGAAACTGCAGTAAAATTTCTGTAGGAACCCAGCATTTTGCTTCAAAATCACTAATGGGAATAGTGCTTTAAATCTATTCTTAAAACGAATGAAATTTCCACCAGAAAAAGAGAAAGGAAAAATGGTTTTTAAGCAGATTTATTAATGATTTTTTTTGAATAAATACCTAATTAAGAATAAAATATGTATATTTTAAGTAATATTTTGCAATTATAAGTCAACATTCTTTTTGTCTTCTTACAATGTCACCAGATTACACCTAGGAGGTTATGCTAATATGTAAGTAAAGTAACTCAATTTTTTTTTTCTATACTGTAAATTGCTGATTTTTATTTTATTTTTTCCCATTTTATATTTCTAGATTAATTATGGTTTCTTTCATTTTGCTAATGAGATGCATGAAGCTGTTTTATTAATTAATTGAAGTGAACTGAAATAATTAAAATAACTGTTTAGTAAATAAATGTGTAATTTTTTTTTTTTTTTTTAGTTTGTTTAACAGTAAAATTAAATATTTTCCTAGTTTTCAATATTCTGAGGCACTAAAAGATTAATAATCATCATTATAGTATAATAGCTCCTTAGAAACTTAAAATGAATTGTAACAAAAACACTGGGGATCCCAAAACACTTCTTAAATATGTGTAAAATTACAGAAAATTTATTTAATTTTAATAAAATATTTTATATTTTATAAAATTCTAGTGTGTTTCTATGATGCTTGAATAGGAATAAAGGATGCTATATATTAGATGATGTTCATGCATATAGCATCATTGATTTATTGTGATCTTGAGATGATGAAATATATTTTCAACATTAGCCAGTTTAGGTATTTCCTTATCTTCATAGCCTTCATCATAACGGCAGCAAGTTTGTGTTTACTTCTTATAAACCTACCTTGTTGCCATAGTTCCACAATTGCTTTTAATATAGCATTGAAATTAATTCCTTATTCCAAAGGCTTTTGCTACCTGAATTCTGCAAGCCAGGACTCAAGGTGATGACAAGCCATGCATCATTGCTTTTTATTTCACCACACAAAGTATTCAAACATTTTGTATATGAGCAGCTATTTCCAGATCAACAAAATGGAATTTATGATTCATACTGAAGTGAGCATATCCTACTCTCTTTGTTTTATATGTTTGTCAGCAGTATGAATATATCATTGATCTCCCTTGCATATGATCTGCAATTTTTGCCATGAGTATAGTTGCCTCTCTCTTCATAACTTGAACAGGAAAATATTGCTAGTTTCTTAGCATAACCTGCCAAATATCCATAATGTTGTGGAAGAATTAACTCTACTGCCATTTTTCCCCCGAGATGAACAGACTTTTATGTATTTCCATAAGTTTTCCAGAAACAAATATTCACCTATTTGATCGCCAGATTAAGTATAGAGAACAACATATCTCTTTCATAAAAATGTCAATAACAGCATTTTCTCTCAAAGATTGAGTTGTTTCTCTGCCATTTAGTTGATGTCAGTTCCTTGCCCAACAGTAAATAAATCACAGCACAGTTACAAACAGAATTCTTAAACCAATTGTCTAAATATATTCTTTTTCTTTCACTTGCAGTTGCTATCATTAAAATGCTGTTTAATGATGTTAATTTAATTTCATGGCCATTTTTGCATATTCAAATGTAAAATGTGTACTAAAATGCTTTTCTTGAAAGAATGATTTTTTATTTGTCAGTAAATAAAAAAATTTTGAAAAAACGAAAATACATTGTGAGAGCTCTACTCACAAGCTCTTATTTTTTTACAGTTATAAGTAAATAAAATATTTTCATGTATCATTGAAAAAAGAAAATACATTAACACATGTGGCATTAACATGTGGCCCACTCACAGCTCTTCTCATGAAGAATGAACTAGTTAAGTGATCATTTTTAGGACTGCATTGACAATTTATTGATATTCTTGGCAGCATTTTAAAAACAGGGTCTATAAAACTAAGGTAGTACCCAAATTTATTATGATTTCTAAGAGGTAATGTTTGACAATCATGTCAGATTATTATTCTCTTATCAAATTGTTATTCTTGCATCAGAATGTTATTTCTATTAGATTGTTGGGTCTATAAAATCTGAGGAAGTACCCAAATTTATTATGATTTCTGAGAGGTAATGTTTAACAATCATATCAGATTGTTATTCTTACATCAGAATGTTATTCATATTAGATTGTTATTATTATTACTGCTTGTCTCCATAATGCTTCTAAATATGAAAACATGTGGCTTCTTCTATACCAGTTCTTAGTTCTAAACTACTAATTTCTTAATATTAATCTGTTTTGGTGTTGCATCATTAGACTTTCTTCCATGCATCCTTGTAGTTTATTCATAATAGGACTTACTTTGCTTAAACCAAAATACATGCAATAAACTATGTATATGCTTGCAGCTGGTGAAGATGGTCAGATTAAAATATGGTCTCGAAGTGGTATGCTGAGGTCAACATTAGCTTCAAATAGTAAGCATTTCATATTTATATTTTGAAGACAGTGTGTTTGCCTTCCTAAAACCTATCTCATCTTAAAATGTTTTTATTATTTTATAAGGAAATTCATAAGAGGAAATATAAAAGAGGATAAATATGTACTTTTATTCCATGACAACAAAATGTTCAAATCCAGATTTAAATATAAACAGTAATAGATTTAATATGTATATATATATATATGTAATAATAAAATTTCATAGTCAAGATTACACTTAAAGTTCTAATTGTATGTTCTTTTCATTTTTAATGGCGACGGTCTCTTATTTGAAAGTACGTGGAATTAAATCCACAGCCCCGTAGTCAAGTTGTTTTTCCCACCTTTTCTATACATACAGTTTTAGAATGTTCTGGAAATATTTCTGGGAATGTTCTGGAAAGTGAACTGGATTGGCTGACGTCATTTCTTGGAAGCTCTGCCTTTCCAAAGGCTATAAAAAGACTCGCAAAGGAATATCGGGGGCTTTTTCTTAAATGTCACGATGCAGTAAACTTCATACAAAAAGTTATTAGTAATTCTTTTTATTTACTCCGGATATCTGATTTTGTAACTGCTATTTCTCCTGAGTAATAATAAATGGATCCTGTTTTTTAAACTTATCGTCTGATAATTTAAGCTATGACTACATTTTATGATTCTTCACCAATCTTTTATTCTGGACAAAAGCTGGTACATCACACACACACACACATATATATACATATATATGTGTGTGTGTGTGTGTATTCAGAGTTATGTATACTTTTTTTAAGTTTTTCTGATTTAAGCTCATTATCTAATATAAATATGTATGCTGAGTGATATATATATTTTTTTAGGTTTTCCAATCTATTCTATAGCTTGGGGCCCAAATTCAGATCAAGTTCTGCATACTCTGAACCACCAACTGGTGATCAAGCCTCTTCAACCAAATTCTAAACCTCTACAAGTAAATAAACAATTTATTTGAATTTTTTTATTATTTTCATTTATTTTTTCAATAAAAGTTTTTATAATACACAAAAAAAATGTGTGTTTTTATACTTTCAAATTGTTGTTACTTAGCTTATTATTACATATTACTCTGTGTGCTGTATGTGTAAATAACTTAGGTTTTAAAAATGATCTAAAAGTTTGTGATCTTCTGTCTTCAAAAAGTAAATTTTGTTTTCAGAAAACTAGAATATTTATATTTTCAAGATACACATATTTATACTTTGAATAGTAATCACTTTTCATGTATTAATTTGTCAAGCATCTGTATACCTGTGAAGTGGAACTGTTTTTCATTGAACTTTTTTGACCTTGCTAATTCAATTTTTGAATTGTTACATCATATGAAGTACAGGAATTCCTGCATCTGTTGTTCATGCAATATTATAAACACAAAGCAGCTTAGATAAGCACATAGATTGCTATACCAGTTACTTCAGATTACACATAAAGTATATGTTTGCTACCAAAAATCAAAATATTGTTAATTATACATCAAATGAAGTCTGCTCTAAAACAAAAGTTTAGGGCTGGATTTCCATAAAAACAGAGGTTTTATAAGCTTAATGCACATTCTGTATTAGATTACAAAATAAGCTTTTTGTTTTGTTTTCTTAGATGCTTAAGTATGGAATAAAAACATAATTTTGAGAAATGTAAAGTGAGCAATTAGTGCTGTGATAATTAGACTGTGGCCTCTATAGTGGCTCAGTAGTTGACTGCTGAATACTGAGAGTTTGACATAGATTGAATCTGCGTCAAACTCCCAGTATAACTCCCATGTGTAACGGGAATATGAACCAGTTTTTCTTAGAAAATCATCCAAAAGACATCCTTTCCCTTACGCAGATACTAGCTCTCATGTGCTTTGCCATATTCAAATAACTGAAACCTAGACAAAGTAAAGAAGCATGCATAATATATCATTAAATTCAAATTCTAAGATAATAGAAGTAAAATTTAAGATTAGTTTTTTGTTCATATGTGATGAAATTTAATTTTTAATTTAAATAATTAATATGATTTTTTATATTTCTACTCATAAAAATTTAGATATTGGAAATAAGTAATTGTGATAAATTGCTCCAGTGGTAATCTTAATGGCCTGTAATCATGTGCTTTCTTTGACTGTACATTTTGCCTTTTGTGTCTTGCCTTCTCAGGTTATATTCTTCAGTACGGTGAATTTACACTTTTAAATTTATGTCGCCCAGCCAGTATAGTGGTTAGTGACCCTGACTGCAGTGATGAGCCCAGGTTCAAATCCCGGAGAAGGAATGGTTGTAACTGACCATCCCTTCATAGGAAGCAATGGTGGCCACTATTAGGTGATTCAATAATGAAATGGCCTCCACTTCTGGCCCTTGTAGTGTCATAGTGCTAATGGCTATTAAATAGAGTGTTCAGTTTTAACCCTTGACACTAAAATCCCGTAAATTATCTGTTTATAACTGAAAGAGAAAGGAGGATGAGAAGTAATGAGAGGCAAAACTGTTAATCATCAGGGGGGAAGAGCCATTAAATCTTCTGAAGTACTTCAACAGCCTACTAGTTTAAGAGGAAGTGTTTTTCCCCCTTAATATCGTACTTATTTCAAAAGAAACTATTAAATAAAATCTGGATGTGTTCAGATTTTACATTACGCCCAAAGAGGCTTTTTTTTTTTTTTTTTTTTAATGTTTTGTGTCTAAATACCATGTTCTTTGCATTAAAAAAATAAAATTCAGTTCTACAGCAATAACACAAAATAATTTAAAAAGAGCATATCTTTAGAATTTCTGATACACAGTCTTGCAAGCTGAAGATAATTTTTTTTTTTTTCCCTGTACAGTGTTGCCATTGCTCGCTTTGAAATCATTGAGTTTGTTAATCAAAAATTCGTTAAAGTTTTACAAAATATGAAATAGATAATAAAACAAATTTCGAATTCCAAATTTGGCCTTCTAGATGCCCATATTCAGGTGGAGACATACGTTATTCACAATTTGATGGCTCTAGGTACCATTGTTTTATCACAATGCTAGAAACATATATACATTTATGCAAATTGTTCATTATTTAATTTCTTTAAATATAATACAAGGCTCTAATATTTGGTGGCAACAACTTAAGTGAATCAATGCAAAATGCCAAAAGGAAATTAATAGTCCTTCTTAGCAAATTACCCCTTTAATATATATATATATATATATATATATATATTTAAAATTGACTAAAAAAAACTTTTGAATTTCTGTTTCATTCGTAAACATGTTAACTATTTTAAATTTTCCATTGATTGAAAAAAATACTTTTCTTTTATTCTAAGATAAATAATTCTTACCATGCATTATGTCTTTCTGAGAACGATCATGAAATTAAACATATGGTCCAATAAAGATACAAAATGCTTAAAAAAGGACAATAATTGTGATGCAATCTAGTTTCATGGATCAAAAGTGCCTTTTCCATATTGCATTTCATCTACTATGGGATAGATGAAATGATATCATATAAGTGAAAGGAGAAATAATTTACATATTTGTAATGATATAGCCATTGACTGGAATATCCTTAAGAGATGGTTTGGTCATCTGATCAGACACACTTAAAACTGAATTTGAGATTCATTAAAATTATTTAAATTTACCAAAGTCTCTTTTTAACCTAGAAAAAATAGTGATGTCAGAAGCATCTTATCTAAACAATGGCTATTCAAGAGCATGCAGCAGAAAACTGGAGAGTGCTTTCTGCTTGAAATTCTTAACAAAAAATTCCAAAACACTTTTAGAGAATATGTCCTACAGAGTCCCATTTCATTGAATTTGTATGACAGAATAAGGGCCAAGAAATTATTTTCAAGCTCTTCTTTGCACCACTTAAAGAGTTTGGACTACCAAAAATTTCTTGCACTTAGATTGGCATTGATTTCATAAAATTTTGTGAATTAATTGTCCCTAAGATTCACTGATATCAAAATTTATTTCTTTTGATTATGCATTTCTTTTAAAAATCTTAAATTCCTTTTTTATTAAAAGATAGTATTCATTTTGAATTAATTTATTTATTTAATGTGGTCTGTGAAATATCCAGAAAAATTGTATTTTAAAAATAGAATTAAAAGCTTGTAATAATGATGTAATGATGATAATGACTAGTATTCTCTGATGAATCAAAGTTCTAATTCATATGGTCACACTTTCAGTTTTTTAGTGCATTTAATAACTATGCATGCTGAATACATGAATTTGCATTATGTCTTCCATTGAGCTACTGTAATTTTTTTCAATGTGTTGATATAAACTGCTGCAGATTTTTTAATAAATTGTTTGGTGAAACATTAATTACATCACTGTAAATATAAGCTTATACAACTAGAAGAATATTTCCCAAAGATAAATACAAATTAGTATTTTCTTCCAAAACAAAATAACATTTTAAACATATTCATCTTTTGATTATAAATTTTAGATACCATATTTATTCAAAAATGATACCCTTTTGACCTACATTTTAGGATAAATTTTAAGAAATAAAAACATAGATGAATGTTTGAAGGGAACATGGTTCTGATTACAATTAATTTGTTTCTAATTAGAATGAATGGCAAGCTGTCTAATTGAATATAATATTTTACTATGGTATATATAAAAAAAAAAACTAGGAAAAATTGATGATATACTATTGCTTATTTATTTTCAGGCATACCAGTAACCAATATCCTATGTAAAAGCCTAAATTAAAATTGTTCATCTAGTTGTAGCTATTATAATTAGCAGTAGTTATTCAGTTTATATATATGGTAATTTACTCGTGTGATTTATTTAATATATAAGAAATATAATTATTTTGTAAACTATGGTAATTAAACTCCATATTCTACTGTTTCATTTATTAAAATACCCAATTTTTAGATCCTTTTAAAGTTTAGCACAAAAATATAGCAAATAAAAGTGGAGTCTTCAAGTAAGTATGGTATCTTCATCTTTAAGGACATAATTAAGATTTATAAATACTCATTTCTAAAATTAGTTTTAAAGTAAATTTCTTTTAAATATTAGTTTTAGATTTTTTTTAAGCATGAAATATTTACAAAATTTTTCTTCTGCTTGTTAAACACATGTTTGGGTACTTATCTTCTGCCACAGCCCTGGCAAGAGTGTTGATCTGGTGCGTTTCTGCATAGGTTAGAAGCTGATGGTTACTAATTTGTGCATGAGCGAGAAACAAATGTAATTGTGCTCTGTCAATATATTTTCTCATTGCAAAATACTGATTATGTTTATTATTTTTGAACAAAATTATAAATTTCTAAGTTTTTAATTTATTATAATATATAATATTGTTATTAATTTATTAAAAAAATAACATTCATACTGTAAAATTCATTGCCAACTTGGTGCCTGAATATAAACTCTGCCAAACAGGACTCCAAATGCTAGGTGTTATACCTGTGTGCTTTTTGTTTTGTCATTTTGTTGATCCATGTAGTACCATGAAAAAGGATATTTATAATCCACTGAACTAATTCTCAACACAAAGACTTTTCTTCTTTTTATTATTAACACTGCATCTCTAAATGGTTCCTCTTTCAATTGAACATTATGCCAATGTTCATGACATCTTTCTTTTGGTAAAATACTTTTTTCTTGTGAAAAAATTCAAATTTCTTTTTCAGCTGATGATAGATTGAAAATAGTAAATGTAGTAAATATTTGCAAAACCACTATAATTTAAAAGCAAACATTTTCATTAGCTAAAGAAACATGAACTATGAGCACAAACAAAAGAATCATTATATTTTTTAATCAAAGGTAAAAGAAATGCATATGCACAGATTGGTAACCATTGGAAACCACTATATTCTAAAAGCAAAAATTGTTACTAGCTGAAAAAATGTGAACTATGAGCAGGAACAAAAAATTGTTATATTTTTAAGTTGATGCTAAAAGAAATGCATGTGCACACATCAGGAAACCATGTACATTTGTTTCTGATGAGTGCAGATACATGCCAAATCAACATTCTCGCCCAGGCCCCTGCAGAAGACAAGTACCCATTTTTGAGTGTAATGGAAAAAGAGAAAATATTGTTAAAAACATGTTTTTATAACATTTTCAAAACTGTGATACTTAGTAATTTAATAATTATTAGTTTTGATGTTGTAGAATATATTTTGTGCTTTAAAATTATGCATTATTAAGCATAAATTGTAAGATCCTTCTTTTCTAGTGGAAAGCTCATGAAGGCCTTATTCTAAAAGTTGCTTGGAATCCAAGTAATAATCTTATTATCTCTGGTGGAGAGGATTGCAAATATAAGGTTAGTCCATTTTTTATTTGTTGAAATATAATTGTACTTTAAAAAATTAATTCTAAAATTAAGATATCTATCATTTAGCAAAAAGGAACACTGCAATTGAAATTCCCCCTTCCCCCCCCCCGTCTTAAATGTTATATGATGCTAGTGTATATTATTGTTCAGGAAACATTGTTTCATTAAACTAACATAAAAAAGAATGGCTTTTACCCATTGCTAAGTAATTTTAAATTATTAAACTTAAGTTATCCTTCTGAACAACATCTTCTATGTGAAGTTTTAATCTATGGTATGTATTCTTGCTTCAGTATCGAAATATTTAAATTCTTTGGGAAAAGCCTGTTTTAACTTCTGGGACTTTATCCTGCCAAAGCAGTAAATTATTAAAGATTAAATAAATTATTCAATTTTGAGACTTGTTACCTTAATTTCCTACATGCTTACAGTAAACATTAGAACTTTGCAATTTTACAGGTGAAATTATTAAAGGAATAGGGTGCTAGAATATAAAAACTACATTTTAATGTTGCTTTAGTTTATAGATAAAATGTTAATACTATGTTCTGTATTATTTTAGGTTTGGGATTCCTATGGGCGAATTCTATATAGTAGTCATACTAATGATTATCCAATAACATCTCTCGCATGGTCACCCAATGGAGAAATGTTTTGCATTGGTTCCTTCAATTCTTTACGTTTATGTGATCAAACAGGGGTAGGAAAACTATATGTATTAATAAAGTGTCTCATTAATCAAAATGATAATGTTGCCAGATTGTTGTTATTTAAATTAATAAAAATGTATGGTATGTATACATGCATATCGTATTCTTTACTTTAACTGAATATCTATCTGCATTCATGTAAACTAAGCTATTCATTAAAAGATACTTAAATTTTCTATGATAAAAAATAGACATTATTTTTATCAATCTAAAAAAATTCTTTTATTACTAAAATTTTTATTTTAAAATTTTAAAAAATGTTGTTGCAAATTAAATGTAAACTTTATTATTGTTATTCTTTTTTTTTTTAAATGTGATACTTTTTTGTTAACATAGCACTACTAACAATAGAAATAAACATTGGCATAAAATCTAACTAGATGGTAGTTACCTAACAATGTGTAAAGCTTCATTTAAAAAAAAAAAAAAAAAAAAATGAAACTCATTGTAACAGTAATGTGTCATCTAATATAATATACAGGGTGATTCTAAATTGTTTTTACAAATTAAGAGGAGTAATAGTATTTATCCAGATGAGCAATAATTATCATAGAACATAGGGTCACATTCCACTCTGAGAGGCAGAAAAGAGGAACTTACAACAGTGTTGGGAAAGTGAACGAACGAGACCCAAAGTTGTGAAATCAGATTTATTGTTTAGTGAAGAGCTTACAAAGTGCTCAAAATGCCGACCATGCAGTTCGTTGCACAGTTGACATCAGACAACATCGAAGGAACAACTGGAACACCTTCTCAAAGATTCCTGGTGTTGTGCTAATTTTATCGCTGCAACAATAATTCTCAACATGAGATCTTCAGCTGAGTCCACAGACATCTCGTACACTAAAGATTTCATGTGCCCCCAGATGAAAAAGTCCAGTGGGTTGAGGTCCAGTGAGCAAAGAGACCAAGCAAGGTCTGCCATGTCCATTCCATTATACAGGATATTATAAAAGTTAAAAAAATTACAGTTAAAAAATTACATTCATTAGTGTGAAAGTTACATTACATTAAAAAATTTACGGAATTGCATACCAGGTAATCACCTAGGATACCTGCCCAGACTTCACAAGAAATTACTGCTGGTGTTTATGAGCGGTAGTGCAGTGGGGATTGCTGTCAGACCAAATGTGTTGAGTGTGCACTTTGAAAATGCCTTCTCTGCTGAATGTTGCATATCACTAAATAATATTAATACAGGAAATTGTGGATCATTATTGCTCATTCCAAGCATCCATTGCACAAAATTTGCCCAGCAGGAATAATCATCTGTGTCCAAAAATTACACTTTTTGCATGTAATAGGAGTGCATACGTTCCTTGTGTAAAATGCACCACACCACTGGCTGCGAAATACCCATTTCATATGCCATCACTCACATACTTGCGGAAGGAGCTGCTTCAAATCTAGTCAAAACTCGCTTTTCCATTTCTGGCATTCGTACATTTTGTGAACGTTCTGAATTGCTTTTTGAGATGGCAAAAGAACCGGTTTCTCGCAGTCTTTTATCAACACTGTAAAAGGTTGGTGACTTGCAGTCTGAGTTGGAAATTGCTGTTCGCATAATCTTCGTGCTTCACATCCATTCCCTTTTGCTTCACTGTATGTGAGATGAATATCTTCCAATTCCTCGTACATATACTATGCCATAGCATTCACGAAAAATTTTGGATGATGTTATCAAGGTAACACTTGAAGTGATGATGTGCCATTTTCAAGGATACTATTTGCTCTAATTGGCTTTCTCCACTACCAACTAAGAGCAAAATGCTGCTTCTTTTCAGTCCATATTTGAAAACGGTTATTTCTTGATAGTTTTAGGAGATAGTCTCCTTGTTCTTCTTTGATGCATTTTTACTTTCCTCTTTACTGCCTCTCAGAGTGGAATGCGACCCTATGTTCTATGATAATTATTACTCCTCTGTATGGGTGCTATCACCCCTCTTAATTTGTAAAAATAATTTAGAGTCATCCTGTATATAAAGTGAGCAATGCTGAAAAATCTGTGTGATTTATGATTAATGTGTATTTCTCTCATATTTTTAAGCAATCAGTTGTCTCTTGAAATAACATCAAAGAACTGCACAAATTTGGCATCACACACAGTTTTCATGATGTGATTTAAACAGACTACCACATTAGGTACTTTGTTGTACATTTGGTGATTGTTGCCCAATTAAGAGAAAAATACTCAGTTTTTACTTCCTTATAGAAAGTATTGTAGTTGCGAAAAATTTTGAGTAACACATTCCAATGGAAATATCCATTTTGACCATTCCTGAGTCCATTTAGATAATTTTTTGCATGACATCTGTATGTACGGACAAAATCAAGAACTCTTTTTTTCCGAAATGGATAGTAAAATGGATTCAAAAAGGAATTTGCGATGTCTGTGTATATCTGAGTGTATTACTCTACTATAAAAAACTATTAGCCATAGAATATTGAAATTTTGTGTATGGGTCTGCTATAACATCTAGTTGTGCACTTCCTTTTGCACTAGGCTATGCCAAACGTATATATATGCATATATAAACTTAAAGCATCTAAATTAATTAGTAAATTGGAATAAAAGCAAGGCAATGCCTCTATAATATAATAATTGCAACTGTGTACAAGAGGTTTAACTTAATATCAAAACTAATCCAATTAAAGAGAGAATTCATAGAAGAACAATCTCAAAAAATAAAAATGTGAAAGGGAAAATATACAAAAATATAAAAATAAAAATTAATCTCTTTTTATTTGAAACTCCAATTCAGAACTCTTCAGGGGAAAATGAATTCAATCTTCATAAAAGTCGATTAATATGTTTCAAAAATATGTTTCATTCTGTTCCATTTGTGATCAAAAACCACAAAAAGATTTCATCAAATTTTTAATTAAAGACTTTCAAATTCATGTAAAACCAAATACCCGAATCTCAGATTTACCAGAATTCTCCCTACACATTTTCAAAACACTTGGGAAAAACATTACCTAGTGCCAAAATGACATTTAAAAACCATAGAACTTTACACAGGGAAAATAACTCAAGTTATTCTGACCCATAGTTTTTAACTTTAAAACTATGGGTCAGAATGACTTGATATTTTACCAGAACAATCTTGAAGCAATGGAATTTCGTTTGGTGAAGGAAAAAATAGTTTCAAAATGTGCTGATAGATGGCATTGTCAGGGTTCACAACATTGCTATTGTGGAGCTATGTACACTGCTCAAAAAAAAAAAAAAAAAAAAATGGGACAGTGCTATATCTCCCGTTCTACTGGGCCGATTTACAAAATTCAAACTGCATTCTTCATGTCTCGAAAGCGCGACTTAGGATATATATTAGATTTATATATAGCACTATTCTAACATAGGTATTTTGACACAAAATCGGACTTTTTCTGAAATAACATACCAATTTTTTTACATATTTCGATTCTACGACTCAAATTACGCCTAAATATGAAATTTTGTAAAATTTGGAGCGAAATTTACGGAGAAATTCACAAATTTATGTTGGCACTTTTTGTTCAGTTTGCGCCAAGAATAGTTCACTTGGCGAACGTCTTAATATATGGCAACCTTGTTTCCTTTCCCGTGAGAGGAAAAAAAGTCACCATCATTCTTTTTTCCAAATAATATTCTTTATATTTTTTATTATAACTGTTATTATTTTAAGTAATTTTTTCTTTTTTTTCGAATTTCATTTTAAATTGTTTAAGTTGCATTTTTTTTCTTCGAATAACTGTTTTAAAAATTTCTATTTACCTATTCAAAACTGCGTCAATAACGGTGCAGCGTTTATTTATTTATTTTTTTTTTCAAATAGTTTTCTTTATATATATTTATTTGTCAGTTATTATTTTAGGAAATTTTTAAATTTTTATACTTTTATTTTAATTGTTTGTGTTGCATTGTCCCTTCAGATAATTGTTTTAAAATTTTCTATTTATTCCTTCGAACTGAGCATTTTAAATATATTTATTAATGTAAATTTTCCAGAATTTGATTTTATTTATTTGAATTGCGTTTCTTTCCGAAGAATATTTTGTAACCCAGACTATGATGCATTTAAAAACTGCATATATTAACAGAGAAATTACAGTAAAGCACAGTTAACACGCCTTTCAATGTTCCGTTCAGAAAAGAAATATATAAATAAGAGAGATGTATAAGGGACATTTTAACATAGGATGACTTGCATACACTGCTTTAAACAGTTTAATCATTGTGCCCATTGCTTTACACAGTTTTATCCTACATTTGGTTTCTTAAAATGTTATTCATATTTTAGTCAAATATTTTATTTTTGAAATCGCAAGAATCAAATATCATAAGATTAAAAATATTAAAAAGCATCCAACTTTTCGAAATAATCTTGGTATTTCTGACAATCATTTTAAATAAAGTTATCGCCTTCCATTTCATAAAGGCCCACAAACGGCCGAGCAGTAGAGAATCGTTGAACACTGGTAATTCACTCCGGGGTTCTCCGGGCTGGTTACATGGGCGTTTTCGTGGATTTTCTCATGTGTACCGTGTATGCTAGCTGGTTTCTGTTAGAAAGTTCATCACGAAGTATTTGGTCAGAGCCTTTATCAGTCTTTAGAGGCTAAACATTTTGAAGTTATGAGATGAAAGTGAAGTCTGGTTTCATCAAGAGGTTTTGGTTTATTTAATTATAACAAAGCACCTAAGGCTATCTGCCTACGGGGAGGGATGCCTTCGTGGAGGACTTTCTAAGGGAAACTGGCTCGCATACATGTTACATATGCGGAAAACCACGAAAACGCCCATGCAGACAGCCCGTTCGCGGGATTCGAACCTCGGACCGAACTACCAGTGTTCAGCGATTTACCGCTCAGCCACTGTTTCATCAGGAGGAAAAAAAAACGTCTTTAGGTGACATCCACATACATCACTGGATAAACTCCTGAATCTTCAAATAATTCGACTGAGAAAATCATGGGATTCTCAATTTATGATATGATATGATGTTCT